ACACCTCACCTATTGCAGGACTTTACGAGGGGAAAACAGCCCATCTTACGAAGGAACATGCCGCTTTCTTCAGACATTGGGAGACCCTTATCTCTCTTGAGGAGCAGGATCTTAACCGCTATCACCAGGAACTGTGGACGATGACGGCTCCGATGCGAGAGAAGACTGGGCGTTGTTATGCTAACATGGTGATTACAGGTTATGAACCTGCCCCAGAAGACCTCCGAAATACTCGTGCGGAGTCCAGGCGACACCTGTACACATTGCAGCGTGAAGAGCTTTCTCAGTCTGCTGAGAAATCAACTTCTCTCCTCGGGACGCTCTCCAAAGGGGATGCAGTCATCCTCTCCGTTGAACCCAACCTCCTTGGTCTTGGTCGAGGGTTCGTCTCTCGTCTCACCAAAGACGAAATTACCATTGGGATCGATCGGGTGCTGACGCCCGACGTGATCTCACGAGGTCGTCCCAACCAATCCCCAATATCCTCCTTGGCCGATGTCGTCTTCCGAATCGACAAAGATGAGCTGGCGATGGGTATGACTCGCGTACGGGACAATCTCGCACAAGTTTTCTTCGCGCAGTCAGAGAGACGACTACTCAACTTGATAGTTGACCTCAAAGCGCCTCGCTTCGAGGCAATTGATCGACAGGATGAGCTTCCCGCAGCGGTATCACAGCAACTAGATGGACTTAGCACCAGCCAGCGTGGTGCTGTGGACAAGGTTTTGATGGCCAAAGACTACGCGCTCGTACTCGGTATGCCTGGTACTGGCAAGACGACAACCATCGCCGAGATCATCAAAATTCTAGTCGCACAAGGACAGCGGGTACTGCTAACCTCATACACGCACTCAGCAGTTGATACAATCCTGAGGAAACTGCTTGACACTCGGATCAACATATTGAGACTAGGCCAGGAGGAAAAGGTATGTAATCAAGCCGTACCACATTCATCATTCAACTGAAGCGGTGTTCGCTAGATCCACCCTGACGTCCGACGATACGGGTTGAACGCACTCGCTCAAGCCACGAGTTTAGAAATGCTAGAACACCAGCTCCTAACTCCACTTGTCGTCGCCACTACGTGCCTCTCCATTGACCATCCGATATTCTCGCGTCAAAAGTTTGATGTTTGCATCGTTGATGAGGCCTCGCAGCTGACTCTGCCTACGTGTCTCGGGCCCCTTCGCTTCGCCGAACGTTTCGTTCTCGTTGGCGATCATCACCAGCTCCCACCTCTCGTGCGCTCTCGTGACGCACGCAAGGCCGGGTTAGACGAAAGTCTATTTCGTCGACTATGCAATGCACATCCAGACTCCGTTGTGGACCTCACGAGCCAGTACCGAATGAACGAGGATATCATGTACCTTGCAAATGAACTGGTTTATGGAAACAAATTGACCTGTGGGACACAAGAGGTAGCAAATCGCAGACTTCTGCTACCATCATCTATGTCCGTTGCCATAGATAGTGAAGAGCTCCCAAGTTCGGCCGAGTCATCTTGGCTGAACCAGGCACTAGATGCAAAGTACGTCATAACATCAGGACCATTCGGCGCCATTAAACTGATCGATATTCAGTCGTAGCGTAGTGTTCCTTGACACCGACCTTGTCCCTGCCCAGGAATCTCGCAGTGGAGATTTAGTGCAGAACGAGCTTGAAGTTTTGCTAGCCCGTCAGGTGTGTGCCCTCAGACTTCATCAAATGCGTTTATCTCACCTTGCAATTTTTAGGTGACAGAGGCTCTCCTCTCGTCTGGGGCCAGCGAAAAGCAGATTGGCCTCATCTCCTTCTACCGCCAGCAGAACAAACTACTCTCTCAATCCTTGTCTTCCCATCCAGACATAGAGGTTCTCACCGCAGATCGGAGTCAAGGGCGCGACAAGGATTGTGTCATTGTTTCTCTGACTCGGTCCAACAAACGTGGTGATGTATGCATTATTTCTAACCACTATACTCTACATCTCCTGACCTCCAATGCAGATTGGCGAGCTACTGAGAGACAACCGTCGTGTCAATGTCACCCTCACTCGCGCGCGGTGCAAGCTCATCTTGATTGGGTCTCGCACCACACTCTCTTGTGAGAAGTATGACAACCCCTTGGCCTCTCGAAGACCTCAGCCTGTGATTGCCAAACTCATGGCCCTTCTCAGCAAACGAGATTGGATCGTATCTCTTCCGCATGAGGCACATCTGATGTACTCACAACTGCTATCTACTTCTCACGGATTGGGCGATTCCTCAATCTCAGGCACTTCGAATGAGGACGACTCTTTGCCACAGAAGAGAAGCAAACGAGGAACAATAGCCCCTTCTCTTCTCAATGGTGGCACAATGATCAGAGATGTGGTCAATGGCATTGATGAAGCACCCGATACATATTGAAGCACAATCATGGCTACCAGTGGACCACTATTCTTGCATCACGATCATTATCTCATAATCTAATAGCCCAGTATCTTTGATCGGTATTATCAGCCAGATTAAAATTTCATTCTCTATCTAAGCTGGTGACTGAGGCGCGACGCAGGATTATTATACGCTGTACCAGTGGGATTGGACCTCAATCATGATAGTGACTCTCAAGGTACCGTCCGCTCGTTTGCACTACATTCTCAGCCCTAGCTCAATCGACATAGTTCATGCAGTCAAGTTCCTAACAAGCTGGTCATGTCAAGACAAACATCTGTGAAGCTGACAATCCTGCTACTCACAAGATTCGTCGCTTCTGAGACCTAGCATCCCAAAAAGATTGAAAGGTAGATCATTTCTCCTCTCCATCTTGCTCCTCAGTTCATCCTCCAGCACAGCCAGTCTACGTTTTCTGCTTTCAAGCTCCTCTGTGGCGAGGCGCAACTCGTCAATGAGCTGTTGGTGGCGTTGCTCCGTAGCGGATAGCCTGCCCCTCTCATCTCTGAGCTGATGATCAAGATCAGATATTTGGGCGCTGAGTTCCGCTAGGTGGGCCTGGAACAAAGACAGATATTTTCCATCAGGCAAACAAAAGTCTTCGTCAGGTTAACCTCTACTCACCATCACTTGATTAAAAGCTGCTGAATATCGGGGTATTCGGGGTCCGGAGGGGTAAAGAAGAAGGGCCCCTGGACCAGTCTTTATATCTGGATACAAAGAAAAAATGAGCTCTTCGTTTGGTATCATGTTTGATAGCGGCTGGCTCGGTAGGTCCGCTCCGATCAGCGAATTCGACTGGTGCAACCAATGGTCTCGTGGGTTGCTGACAAACTTGTTTCCGAACAAAGGCTTTACTCATGAAGATCTCTTTTCCGAAGCGCAGCGTGCCTCCCTCTCCTTGGTGGAGCTTTTATTGACGCTATCCGAATGGCGGCTTCCCAAAGCAAATAAGGTGCGTTGTTTATGCCTAATATTAACGGTTCGTTCAATTTCTTGCTCTATTTGTTACGGCACTTTCGGAGCCTCGGCTCCTGATTCGCGTGCGGGGCGTCGGCGTCGAGCTCAAGCCTTCAACCTGCATGTATCTCAACTCGGGAAGACTTCTTGGTATCTTGCGTAGCTTGACTAGGATTTTTGATGCTAGAAGTCAGTAGCCATCCATGCTTTCCAGTTTGACAGGGCAGGTGAGCGAGTGCGAGACTTTGCCGAGGGGGTTATGAGCTATCCAAGAGTGCCTGATATCCCACGGATTAGTGCCGCCGGGCCAATTGCCCCGGGAATGTAGTCAGCGATTGGTAAAGACGACGTGAACTCTCAGGTCTCGGAAATTTTTGAACGCTCTGTGCCTGCACTAGGAGAGTAGCCCCCGGAGAATGGCAACTTGAAGATATGATAATTCACTGGTTGAAGAGAAAGTCTCCTAAGTGGCTTTTCAAGTCCCGACACCTACCTTCAAGACCCATATAAGAGTCTTAGGGTCAGCACTCAGCGTCGCTCTCCACCCCCATCCCCCAGCTGACGATTCCATTGAAGACTACTTTCACTCTTCCTCTCAACTAACAGCAATGGGAATCTTTGACTTCATCGCCGACAGTGTCCAGAGCATTGCTGACGTGTGAGTGGAAGTATAATAGCATGGCAGGATCTTGGGAGACTGACTATGTTCTGTTCCAGGGTAGAGAGCACCGCCGTTGACGCCGTGAACGGGGTAAACTTCTTCGCTCTAGCGTCTATTATCTATGCTGATTCTCTCTTGGCGTTATATTCGCAGGTCGGCACTATTGTAAGCACGGTGAGCTATTTCAATCTGTCGTTTTACCCCTGCAGACATAGACTCATCCCAAACTCATCACTGAAGGCCGAGGGCGCAGTTGAATCAGTAAGTTCATTTTATCACACTCTCCCATACGATATGAACGTAAGTGGCCTAACCTGGTATACCACCATTGCAGGTTGTGGTCGCAGCAGCCCACACGGCGGAAGATATTGCGTCTAGCTGTGTCGCTACGGTAAGATTTATTCCAAAGGGTGTCAGGAAACGTCGGCTGATAAGTTATAAATGGCCACCTCAGGCACAAGCTGTAGAGAGCCCGAATGGCGGAGAGAAGCGAATGAGCAAATAGCGCTTACGGTGTGTGAGAGGTCTAATGTCCTTATTGGGAGAATCTCTGACAGTGATTCATGCCTCCAACCAACCTTTTTCTCGATGTTAGGCAGTAGTTTCTACCTGCCTTGTTCCTTATCCACTATAGGCCTATGCGATACATTCTAGTGCGGCATTCTTATAATCCAAGCACTTTACAATGAGTTTCCCATGGATTCATGACATTGGCAGGGGGGTTCACGATTGAATTTTAAGGGCCTCCTACCGAGTCCTTGACAATGAATTCTAGGCCGCTAAGACCACACTGATAAACTCAAGTGCTGCGACAGTTCTGCTACATCCTTGTGCTCCACCTCCAGTCTACTAACCTTGGGAGATCTGAATGGGATTGAAAGTTTCGCGGGCATTCAGTGGTTGGATAGGTCAGACGGGAGGTAGAGGTTTGAACCATCTCTAGCCTTGTTATCTCTCGCCTTCAACAAAAGTCGCTATCGTCCAGTGGTTAAGACGGCACGTTGTGGTGAAGATCCCGTGCAAACCTGTGTTCGATTCACAGTGGCGACAATCTTTTGCGCTTTTTGCGACCTTGGCCAACGGCAAAAGCACAACCTACTGTTCCAAGAATATCTTTTTAGGTCTTTATTGGTCGAAAAATTATGAGTATAATAGGTAGAAGGAATCATATTTTTCCGAAAAATACTACAACAAAGCAGGCTGATTCCCTAACACACGAAGGCACTACCACATCTCAGACAGCCAATACGAACTCACTCCTGGTGGGTTAGGCGGAATCTATTGGAGGGAGAAACAGATTGTTGTGCCGGGATGGGTGCCGATGATGCTGGAGGCGAGAACCGTTTAATCAACGGCCATCTCGAGCTTCAGCTTAGCGATAGCCTCAGCAGGGTTGAGGCCCTTGGGGCAGGTACGGGAGCCTGTGGGGTGAACGGAGCAGAAGTAGACCGCGGTCAGCACAGGGCGAAACAGAAGAATGAAGAAAATACGCACAGTTGAAGATGGTGTGGCAACGGTACAAGCTCATGGTGTTCTGGAGCTTCTCCTTGCGCTCGGCGGCATAGGCATCCTATAGCAGGCGCAGATACAAAAGGGTGATATGGCACGGCAGTCAGCGATTGCGAAGAAAGCACCGAGTCATCAAGCGTAAAGTACGTACTCTCGAATCAGCGATCCATCGGTACGCCTGCATGAGGGTGGCGGGGCCCAGGTACTCATCCTGGTTCCACCAGTAGCTGGGGCATGATGTGGAGCAGCATGCGCAGAGAATGCACTCGTACATGCCATCGAGCTTCTTGCGGTCTTCCTGAGACTGCAAGAATTCACCTGTATGGCAACAGCACGGCATTAGTCCCAATCCAGCACAAACACGCTAGTATAAGTATAGTTACTGACCCTTCTCGGGTGGGTTGGGGTTTTGCAGGTACGGCTCGATAGACTTGTACTGCTTGTAGAACTGAGTCATGTCGGCTGGTATTCACGGTGCAGCCGGTCAGTTGAGGCAATTCGAGCGAGGGTCATCAATCAGCAACTTACGAACGAGATCTTTGACAATGTACACTAGAGAGAGTAGCCAGAAGGGGTAGGAATAACGTTTGTCAGTCTAATTGCCCCTTTGCTTCGCTGTCAACCGCAGACAAGGGAAGAAACATACTGTGGGGGAGGGGGTAGATCTTGCTGTCTTGGCCCTCGGTCCTGTCGATCCTGCACAGGCACGCAAGGGTGTTCTGACCATCGATGTTCATGGCACACGAGCCGCAAATACCCTCACGGCATGAACGGCGGAAAGTCAGAGTGGGGTCGACCTCGTTCTTAATCTTGATGAGGGCATCAAGAATCTGTTATTTTCGTCCAGGAGTCCAACGAGAACCAGCAGATACGATTGGAGGAGTGGTGTGTCCAAGTCGGAAGAGGTGGGAGTGGGGTTGGGTTAGGGAAATGGGCGCGTGAGATTCAATGTGAGTGAAGGTGGCTCGTGAATCCCTTCCGGTGAATGGGGAGTGAATCGACGTACCATAGGGCCAGTCTTGTTGAGGTCAATAGTATAGGACTGCAGCACAGGCTTCTTCTCAGGTTCATCGGGGTTCTGTAATCATACGGGCCAAGGTCGAGAATAGAGAAACGAGAGCATGGCAATGAGTATCACGATGAGCACAAGGCGTGGGACTCGCTGTGCCCGTCGACCAAGAACAAGCCAGTGCATAATAGCGACATTGGGCAGGAATGGCTCTAGAAGACACAGAGCACAGAGTAACCAAGCAAGGAGAAGCGCACTGACCCAGCGGTAGATCTTGAACTCCTTGAGCAGAGGCTTGCGTTCGGTCGGTGCCTCAGCTGGCGTCGCATACGCCTTTGGGGCGGTGCTTGACACCCACCGTGCTCCGACGGTCGAGCGAAGTGCCGGACGCGCTGTCGAACGCAGAAGGAATGCTGCAGACATGGTAAACACGGAACTGGGAGAAACGATGAGAGCAAGCCAAACAGTCACGTGATCAGTGTGAGCGACGCACCCGTGAGAACCAGGAGGTAGAATTGCCGGAGAGCCGTGAGACCAATCACAGCGAGCGCATATTCCACCGGAGGCTACCTCTCAAAATTCACAGCAATTTAGAGTGGGATGGGACGCGTATTGCATTATAGACTGGTAGGATTGAATTCTATGACGAAAATCCTTGCAGAGATGAGGAATGCTATGAACCTAGCAAATCCTCATTCAATCGCAACCGTCTCAAGAGGCGTCTGGCTCCATTCCTTCACGCTACTCGCAACGCTGTCCTCGCTAAACGTCTCCTCCTTTGCATCCCAAGCAAACCTCATCTCGACCTCATTGAATATCTCCACCGTTTTGCTAATCTCGAAACCGAGGCGGCGAAAGAGCTTAATCGATGGGGAATTATCTGCGCCGATGCGTACCACAAATGACGTGGGCGTCACCGGCAGTCGGGTGATGGGGTCCGAGCCAGAAGAAGAGACGACGTAGGAGGCTGAACACGCGTATTGGAGGAGCAGGCGAAGAGCTTCCAGTGCAATGCCCTTCCTGCGATACGATTTTTCTGTACGAGAGCAGATGTTAGCCATTATGAACACGTCTCAGAATAAGCTACTCGATACGTACCTGCGATCATGACCTTAGAACGGTGAGGAAGACAGAGGTTAATCGAAATATGCCAATGAAATACTGCAGAGTTGGAAATTCCGGACACACCTCACATTCAACTTCGCCTTCTTCCTTGAAGAATAGGTTTACATCTCCCACCATCGGAAGGTCTTTCATATCTTGAGCATTGAGGACAGAACCATCCGAGGGTCTGGACAGAATGATAAATGTGAGTTCTAGAGTCGAGGATGCAGCATTCAGTAATCTCGAGGTGGAGTGTGCAGCATGTAAGAAAAATAGAGGAAAAAAAAGAAAGCTTACTATCACCATCCGCCTGCCATTTATCTTTGACGAGTTGAAACAAATGGTGTGATAAGGAGCTTGGACATCGGCACCGAGATTTGGGCGACCCTGAGTACTGGGCATCAACAACACTCACTCTGCATCTCGTACTCTTCCTCAAGACTCAACGGCTCAGACGCAGTGAGCTCCAGCAACTCGGGGTCCTGCATCCACTCATGGTATTTCTAAGACAAGACCACACGTTAGGACGTTCCCTGAGCGGAGACAATAGATAGCAAGCAGTACGTCGACATGTTCAACCCTGGAAGGGGGCTGAATCCGTTCATGACCATCATCTTAACACTAGAGTTACAGGCTGAAATATAAAAACCTGTAAGGAACCAGGACGACAGTCGGGCCAAGCAAAGCTGTGTGTTCATTCACGCGCATCGCTGCGAAACTTGAGGCAAAGGACAGAAGCTGCGCTGTGTTGGTGGTGAACGTCTGGAGATGAACAGACTCTTCCTGTCCCGTGACTTGCCGTTCAAGCTCGTCGTGCCGAGCTACTGTCGACCAGCCCTACGCATCTATCCTCGACGGTCGCCTAATCGAGCTGCACAGTTGGCTAGATATCATTCAGGACAGTCTACTTCTTCCTCGCAATCCAAGATCGAATCTACTCCGAAAAGCATGTCGCAGCATACACCCATGAAAGCCGCATACGGCACTTGGAAGTCCCCTATCACAGCGGATATCTTGACTCAAAAGGTGAGGTTTTATCACTCCCTGTGCTCCTATTCTTAGATGATGATGCCTGCATGGGATGTATTCCCTGCTATTCGCTTGCTGATTATTGCAATTGTAGTCAATCGGGATCTCTGATGTCCTTGTTGATAACGGAAATGGAACAGTTTACCACACGGAGAATCGGCCATACGAAGCAGGGCGCGTCGTCCCTGTGATCTCGCGCGACGGGAAGGACGTCATCCCAGCCGAGTGGAGTGCCAGGACCGGGTATGTCATCTCGTCATGCGCACGGTACTATCCTCATATTTTTCGCTGTGGATAGTGTCCATGAGTACGGTGGCTCCTGCACTGTAGTCCACAATGGGGTCTTCTACTTCTCCGATGGAAAGACGAGGAGACTGTTCAAGGTGACATCGCCAGGGACAGACCCCATTGCTGTATCTCCTGGTAGGCCACACCCACTTCTTCTCTTGCTGAGGTCCCCACTAGCACTCATACCGCCACTCCCTCTTCAGACAACGGCAACTTCCGCTATGGTGCACCCACCATTCACCCTACTCATCCACATCTCATCGTTGCTGTCCTTGAAGACCACACGAAGCCATCGCCAGCCGACGTCGTGAACAAACTCGTCTGCATCAATACCTCAACCTCGTCAATTTCTGTACTGGCTGAGGGAGCAGACTTCTATGCGTTCCCCGCCATCAGTCCTGATGGTACACACCTCGCTTTCATTCAATGGCATCATCCCAACATGCCTTGGGAGGCAACAGAGCTCCATGTAGTCAAGATTGTCGCCAACGAGGCGGACATCGAGCTCAGTGGCAAGCCTACACGCGTCTCCGCCGCTCCCAGTAGCAGTGCTGCCGCGGCGGAGGAGAGCATCTCGAACCCAGTTTGGATCTCTTCGGAAAGCCTCGTGTTCCTATCTGACGTGTCTGGTTTCTGGAATCCATGGGTCTATAGCCTTTCAAGCGACGCGGCTCGCTCACTGCTCAACGCGCCCCTGGGCGTAGATTTCTCGGAACCTGACTGGTACCTCGGAGACTATCGTGTTGCTGTGCTGACGCCCGAGATACTTGTGGTGGCCCCAATATTGAATGGAAAAACGCGATTGAGCCTTTTGATTGTCAAGACTGGGGAGGTCCTACCTGTGGCAGATGGGGAGCGGTATGTGTATGTGGAGAGGATGAAGCGGGTGAGCGAAACCGAGGTGGTTTTTGTGGGTGTCGAGGATGCAGTGGCATCTGCTCTCGTGTCTATGAAGATCTCTGCTCTTCCTGAGGCTGGGACCACGGTTATGACCGCGACTACGACAGTCTCTGCGGCTTTCACTACGCTGAAGGCTACATCGGACCTCACCTCGCAATTCCCAGCGGGCCTCATTTCTCCTGAACTCCCTATCGCCCTTCCTAATCCGGAC